ATCCGCGGATTCTGTTAGTTGTGATATGACTATTTGCAGGTTATGTTCAGCAATTAAGATCTAACGGAAAGCGAAGTTTCATGTCCGTAAAACTTACCCCTGAGGAGTAGGTACTCCCCGTGAGTAGACAGACTAACTGCAGCATAGTAATTTTAATGTCTCGTCATCAGAACTGAAGAAGAGTGCTATATTAAATAATATATTTAAGTATAAGTCTTTTTTGACTTAAAGGACTTGAACTAAAGTTACAAATATACTTAAATGTGAAGTAAATATAAGGTCATAAAAACAATGGTTTTTTAATTATTTATTTTTGAATTTACAATATATTTTTTACCTATCTACACATTTTTTTTTGAAAACTACAAGGAACTATGGACTTTTGTAAAAATCTTAAACAAAATTAGAGCTTTAAAAACCATTTTGTAAGTAGCTGATAGCGCCTCCAGTGACGAAAACGTGTCGGAGAGTGAGTAATGAAATCACTCGGCGTGCCGCTTCAAATTAAATCACCTTAATTATCACCGCCGCGCCGTAGACGTAGCGCCGTCCTGAGACGAGTGAAGCATAGCATTAGCTGTGTAATACTAATATACTAAATTGTATTACCTAATTGCAGTTTGGGTTATCATATGACATAGTGGCAGCATGACTACCTAATAATTTAAAATATTTTGTACTAGCGACTAGCGCTTCTCTCAGGTTCCTCCCTAATTATAAATATTATTTTCATATATACAGGCAACGATTTGGCCAGCGTAGGCCGGTAAAGTGGCTATTTGGCGCATTTTACTTTGACTTGATTTGCAAATATAAAGATTTAAAACTATTTTTTTTAAATCAAAATAAAATATAGCCTATATCCGTCAGGGTCAGTGTAGTTTTCTATTAGTGAAAGAATTATTGGAATCATGTAGTTCTAGAGATTACTTTTTACATACAAACAAAGTTTACCTCTTTATTCTAGTATTTACTATTACCAATACATATAATGGTAGTATATTAGTACCATAATTCAGGGAGATTCGCAATAAGGCCGAGGACATTATGTTTTTAAATAGTCAAAAGGTAGCGAAATGCTGTAATTTTTCCTTGAATCTTCTCGCCATGACTTTATTCAAATGAATCATAAGCCAATTTTGTATACTTAATAATTATTCATAAATCAATTGTTTAGAAACTTTGACATTAAACCTCTAGGATAGATTTATCTCTTTATAGGCAAAGTGAACTTTCATCGACTATTTCAACAGTTTTCTCGGAAATCAAAAGTCGAATATCTTTAACCTTCATATGTTCAATTTCACAAGCTAAGTAATGAATCTAAATTTGCAGGAACTAAAAATATAAAAAAAAATATACCTATTCAAATATTAAAAAAATCGACACGTGAACGGATCCTTTATTAGCAGAAAAATAATAAATATTGTTGATGTTTAAGGTTTCATAGGGCAGTAGAATGAACGAATTTGGTACTAGTTTAAATAAACTCCAACAATGCACATTATGTATCTAACAATTCCTAATAATAGTAATAATATTTGCTTCAGTCTATTTCAATTTTGTTAATGAAAACTAGAATACCTTTTTATACCAAATAATAGTGGTCCCCTGACTGAATCATTGTAAATAATGGATAGAACGTACATACTGATTTCTAAGAGAAATTAAAGCAATGGGTTTCTCTTATATAAATAAACAATTAATAATATTTCTCTCTCTTTTATGAAACCTAAAACTACTATTATTCTATAATCTTTAAGGATTTTAAACAAAAAAGTTTTCTATATTATGATTAATTATATAACGTTCTCATTTCTCAAAGACTTGAAATTATAATCACAGTAGGCTTATAAAAAGGTGCATATTGAATAAGGTATTGTAGAGTTATCAAACACAAAGTTGTTTAGACGAAAAAAGACCCTTCTCAATATAGTTAAATTAATTTATGTTATTACGAATAGTTTTATCGTCATAGAATTTTGTCGTCTCGTTGTTTATTCAAAGCTTAAGGATACATTTTTAACTACCAGGCACAGGGGATTTCTTAAGATGAAATCTGGCCTTAAAAGCATTCAGGACTTCCTGCCATGAAAGTAGAATGCATTTGGTTTAGATAATGTTTTTTATTAGTGTATATTTATTTATCTATTACAAAAGCAATAATGAATGATTATAATGATGACATTACTAATTTTGAAAAAGAGAAAAGCAATTGTCGTTTGCTGAACAGTTCCCAATTTTCTATGTCTCTCTAACATGTAAAGTGGCAAGCTTATTTAGTGCAATAGTAATATAACATTTTAATCGTAATCAAATCATTGAAATGTTATATAACTAGTTCAGTTGTTTTAACTACGATACAACTAATACCTATATAAAATGCTTTTCTTAGAAATATAAAATTAAACTGCTCTACAATAGTTTACTTCTAAACATAAAATAAAGAAGGTAATTAAATTTACTGTCAACATTTAAGTTTTATCGTCATTTTACGGATATATTTAGACTGGAATAAAGATCAAAGAAAGCCTTGTCGCGCACTTAAATCTAAAAATTAGTTAGAGCTTAAAAGAAAATGTTAAGTACTTGCAATTGTTATCTCTTCTTATGACTGTAATTACGAAGATAGTGTTATTGATCCTCATACCATATCTATTGGAAACTTTAACAATATTTGAGCAATACGAGCATCCTCTTACTGGGTAAATCATTTCGATGCCAACTGAAACTCGACTATAATATCCATCCGGCGTTAAGTCGTTTCATAAAGGCTGATCAAATAAATTTGTCATCTTAATTAGCAATGAAAAGTAATTCATTGGAATAAGGTTGCAACTCGCTACATTTTAATTGTTCACTGTGAAAAGACATTAGCTATTTGACTTTTAATCGTTAAGTGTCACCGCCGCGCCGCTACCTTGTATAATACTTTACTATGCGTTGTTATAGGCTTGGATAATTTTTATGATACATTCTTGCCTTCGTTCTGCTTTATCAATATTAATAAAATTCTTATAGTTTGGAAAGCATTTGCTTTTCCATGTAAAGATTTAGAATCCGACCGAACCGTAGTACCTGATGGACAAACCGAATCTAAACCCACAAGAGAAAATTATTATTTTGTTAAATCATTGTCTAATCAAAGTCCAGTAGTACTTCGAGAGTACAAAGAATAGAGTGCACTTGTGTCTATGCACATATTTTACACCCCAATATATCCTGACGGGTAGACTCAGTGATATTAGTTGCGTGACCGAATTCGGTGGAGATCATTCTATTAAGTTAAAACTTATAATTATGGATTACGACATTCGTTTCGGATAGATTCGGATAGATACAACAGAATCACTGTGTTAATTATAACAAAAGTTGAAAACATCACTTTGCCAGCCGGCACGTTCAGGCCATGTCCGGAAGACAAATGGCGAGGAGATTAATAAAGTGATAAATTGAAAAAAAAAGTTGCCAACCTTTTCTTATTTATATAGGTTATTACTCTTAAGAGTAGAGTGTCCTACGTAAAATATATTTTTTTATATTATTGTTTTAAGAGGTCTATTATAATAGATCTCTTAAAACTTAAATTTGAACTATTACGAAGCTCAGTAGACAGTAACAGTACATACATAATAACAGACATACCTACATAACAGATTGGTAGTGTGCGTCGGTTCTAAAAAACCTAATTAATGTCGTCAAAGAGAGTTCTTAGTCAAAAGTTGATTGAGCTCTTTATTACAGCCTTCCAATTTGATGAGGACGAAAAACTGGAACCCTATTATATAATCGATGTTTTGGAGGGTGGTATTTTTGATTGGTATCGAATTAAGGGTCATCCATATACTAATATTATATTAAAGATATATTTTTACTGAAAAGAATTAAATGAAAAAATAGTACTTATGAAAACTTGCACCAAAATCCCTTTTCAAAGCAGCTTACTTATTATACAAGCATTTACATTCTAAGATTATTTTAACATTAAAGACATTTTCTTATTAATCTTTGTCTCGAAAACTAAGAGAGGGAAATAAAGACGTAGTTTCAGTCATGTTATACCTACGGCGTGATATCAAAGGCATTTACATCGCATACTTCATGAAGCTAACGTTAACAGCGTAATGTAAGGTATCGTTTAGCTTGTATTGTATTATTTTGTTAAAAATATATCATATAATATGTTAAATACATTGGAAAATAAAACCAAAAATAATAATTTAACGTTTTTATTGAACGTAATTCATATGTTAATGACATAGACTATTACATTTGCCTACGTAGCTAAAGAGATCAATTGAATAAATAAACATTAACATGTATCAGCTACTCTGTACATATCTATAAGTAAAATAAAGCTAAATGCCATAGGTGGATAGTTTGTTTCCTAATAATACATATAATTACATCTCTTCTAATATTATATATTAATAGGTTATAATAATATTTAACAGCAGCGGTAATATAAGAATTTATTAAATAAGACATACTTTGGCACAAATAATATACAACTACGGTAACATTGACTATAGACTTTTTTAATAAAAAAAAAGAATGAGTGATATAAAATATCAACTACTATACGAATTCGTAAGAGAGTGAATGATGAGCTGGTTAACATTCAACTCTGACGAATTACGTAAAGAAATTTAAAAAAGTATCTACATTCATGAAGAGTTTAATAAGGACGGTGAATTCAGTTTATTCTAGTATTTCTGCAACCATTTTGAAATAAATTTCAAGATTACTAAAATGGTAACTAGGACATGACGTCGTCAAATATTTCTGCATCCTAATTAGTACGAAGACTTTGTTTTAAATAAAGCTTAGCGTCTAATTTAACTACTTGTGTATTCATGACTTAAAATAATAATGAATTCGAGTATTTATTTAATTTATACTTATGTTTTATTTCAAAAATATAGGGGTAGTAGTCGCAAAGTCTTATTGCCAGCCGGAGAAAACGCGTGTAAATAAAAAACGGTTTTCTGTAATCTTTAGTTGTCGTAGCGAGATGGTGCTGAGTTAGACCAAAAACCTGTGAGTAAATAAAAATATTTTTTTTAAGAGAAGCAAATAATAATTTGTATCTAAATAAGTTTAATTTAGAATAATATAAGTAATCATCATCCCTTGTCAAATGTAAATTAAAAGATACTGTTATAATAAAAACTAAGCTAAGGCCGATTTAACGACGTGCGAGTATATATTAATTATATATTAACGCTTGTAAAAAAAGTAGCAAAATTTTTAATTATGATTTATTTGACTATTTAAAAGGTTCAATTAGTTTCAATAAATATTTTTGGAGATTGTATTTTTCTATAAAATAACGTTTTAGTAAGAAGCTACGTTACTCATAGCATAAAAGTTAAATATTTAAGTAAAATCATATGTAATTAATTATGTCTACTCGGAAGTAAAAGTAAAAAAATTACCTCGTTTTCCAACATTTTGCAGGAAAACTCGATTGGCGACCGCCTGTCGCTGGTTCGCCTCGCGCATCTGCTTCCGGGCCACTTCGAGTAAAAGTCGTTGGCGGAGCACTTCCATGGGGTTGTTGATGGACAGCGACGGCATCTTGCGTTTCGGCCTCGGACGACCCTCACGCAGATCCGCCAAATTCTAAAACAATATAAAAGAGCTTTCTAATTAAACTTAATTTTAAAATATGACAGCTATATTTTACCCTTTTATCTTGTTCTCTGTGTCTGCTTCTAGAAAGAACCAAACATTTTGTAACAAGCTGATTTTTTTATATATTACAAACGTTACAAAAAAGATTTTTATTTATGGCTATCGTATTTTTAAGAATTTTCTTTCTACACAAGGGCTTCGTTATATCTTAAATTTTAACAAGTTTGAACTTTTATAAAAAAAAAACATTCGTAACACATTGATTGGATGTCAAAAATAACGATCAAAGCGATTAATTGGCTTTGGAAACCAATACAGCTAATTAACTAGAAATTGCGTGATAGGTTTGTTTTTTATATATTCTGTTAAATAAACATATGTTTATTGTTTAGGTATATATTAAATATTGTGGTCAAATGACCTATTTAATTATTAATTTCTTCATAAATGCATTTATTTATTTGGAATACTAATACTGACAAACACATTTATCGGTTGTGACGCTAAGTTCGGAAAATTGTTTGTTTATTAAATTATGTGTACATACTCTCTTTCCATGGAACAAGGAGCTAATTAACCGAGAGTGTTACATTTGCAGACTATACTCGTAATATTACAATTTATATCAATATATAACAATAAGATTGATTTAATTGACGTGTTTTATATGACGTATTATAATATTTTAACAGGATGTATGTATATTAAACTATATTTTTACCATAGGTTATTCTTTAAAAGATGTAGAATGATTTCATGAAATGAACCATAACTAATAACCAGCCAGGATTTAAAAATAAAACTAGAACTGACTCAAATAAATTTTATTTTCCTAAAAAATAACATACTTAAGTATATCTTTATGTGTTAATAGTGATGTATTAATTATTAAAAGTTATATAATATAGGCTCAAATCAACGAATATCATATTATAAGGCTAAGTGTTATAATGAAATAACAATAAAATATAGTCATAAAATGATCCTTAAAGTTATTTAACAGAGTTAAATCAGTTAGTAAAAAAATGACATCTTTCAAAATTTACTTAACAAGCACTATTCAAAACATTAAATGCTATTTCAGTCAGGTTCAGGTTACAAATTGTTTACGCGGACAGGAATAAGGTGTATATTTTAATATTTTTCCATTTCTACAGATGGGCTTACGATGAATCCTGAAAGATATAAGTAAATGTTAATTATATTTATAGAGACAGCTAATAATTCTTTCAGGAATAAGTGTCATTAAGTATAATCAAACAAAAAAATTGAAAGCACATGCCAAATTATTAAAATATTTTAAAGAAAATCTGAGATTATGACGAAATCATAGGAAACGAGATTATCATAGTATAGAAAGTATAGTTATACCTATTTGACTTCTAGTACCTCGTTTACCAATGTCATTTAAGAAATTCCGGTTAGCCAAAGCTCGTTGTGCGGTGATCTTCCGTTCTTTCTCTAGGCTCAGCTTGTGTCGCAGTACCGACATAGGCATGTCGATTGACAGCATAGGCATGCGACGCTTCAATCGCTCGTTCTGGCCCTTTTCCCATAGTTATTAATTAGTCGTAATACTTTAATTTTATATATTAATACTCTATAGTTCAATTTATAGAACAGTAAATTATTTATTCAAAACCCATTGGTTTGATATATTATAAGCATAAAAATGCTCATACGAGTCAACTACGAGTATTTCCGTTTGCGACATATTTAAAAGAATAATGTTAAAAGAAAGTAATGAAGTTAACACTAATTGAAATATATATTTTTTCTTTTCGCATATTTAAATTGTGTATTATTGTGATTAATAACCTTTTCAAGCTTTTCAGCGTTAATTGCTATGTTAATATTAAGGTTGAGTAGTTATTATAGCTATATTCTATTTATATATTATTTTATCCTTTGTGGAGTAAGCCTATCAACTTAACACTCTGTTTAGCGCTTTCCAGAAGGGATAAATATAATACATATATTTTGTGTAAATAATTCAAGCATGAGATCCATACAAAAAAATAACCCTCGATATCCGGTGTATAAATAATTTCTCATTTAGTACCTACACCGCTATGTCACAACAGTCAATTTTTATCGTACTCACCCTCGGGTTCGTCCCTAGTTTCATTCCCCATACCCATTTCATCCCCATTTTCACCCCCTTAAGGGATGATTTCCGGGATAAAAATCCTATGTCCTTCCCAGAGTCTCAAACTATCTTCTTACCAAATTTCATCTAAATCGGTTCAGTAGATCCAGAGATTATCCCCAACAACGTCACAAACTCACAAACTTTAACTCTTTTTACTTACATGATAGGGAATTTAGTTAAATAGTATAATAAAAAACCATTCATTTTATAGGTAAACATTTTAAAACACAATACTATTTTCTTAAATTATTTATTATTATTTTTCTTAACATAGTTATTTAAGAAAAGTTAAGAAATCCAAGTGCTTATAAAACAATAACATAAATAAATTCAACAATAATTTATGATTAGTCGACGTAGGACGGCAAGAGTTGGCTATCTTCTGATGTACGAAATTCAATGTTTAAAATTGCACTCCGGGTTGTTCCAAGGATCTAGGAATAGAAACGAAAAATTGATTCTTGATTAATGTTGATTGCTATTGTAATAAACGTTATTTATACACACGTGACACTGGCAGAATGCTAAGCCACTAAAGGAAAAAATAACGTTACAACGTAAATCACTAAATATTTGATTCTATTTAATTAAGTCAAGAAACTAGATTTTCCATGAAAATGGCCATAAAAGATCTATATTGTGCAAAACACATGCGATACTCGTTATCTATTCATAATACAATGAACACATTATAATATGCATAAGTTGAAAATTGCCGTGAAATATTGTGATACAGTTTCACTTTAACTTCCATCCCATCTGACCATGCATAATAATAATAATGAAAAGATGATATTGTATTGAATAGCTAATGTAGAGGAAAATATAAAGCGCACTGATATGTGTTATTAACTTTAATTATTTATTTATTACTTTTGATTCTAACCTCGTTTTCCCACGCAGTTAAGAAAATCACGGTTTGCATGCGCTTGTCTTGCAAGATAGTTACTGTAGGCCTCTCGTTGCAGCAGTTCCACCGCAGGATTCACCGATAGGGAGAGAGTTCTTCGTGAGCGAGCCATACCCTCATTACTCGTAACCTTTGCACAGTCGTACATCTAGTTTGTTACTAACACATCACCCAAAATGCTGTTTCGTATTTTAACGGTACTATTTCAGAAACTTTAATTGCGGAATATATTTCATCATCCTAGAGCGGTCAAAATTAATGCTTGCCGTTGCAAAGGACATTGACAAGTTTTAATATCGCGTATACTAGCTGCTGGTATACTAATATCAAGAAATGTTTTCAAGTTTACGCTGTCGGCTTTATGAAACTTGAATAGCTTTTTCTATAAATTCCATGTTGTTAAAAACGGAAAATTTCAATACATATTTAAATATAAAAAAACGGGGTAAATATTTGGATGTTTGTGACACAATTGGGTGTAATTAAACCTTTGAACGGATTTGGATATAACTTGGCTCGCTTATAAATCAAATTGTCAATATGCTGATGTATGATTTGTTTCATTTTTATCCGACATTCATTACGTTCTCCTGGTCATGAAGTTCAACTTTACGATTGTTTAAAGCAATATTTTAAATCAGAACATAACAACTTTGAAAAAAAAATCACGTGGGCGAAGTCGCGGGCAAAACTAAGATGCTATGAATAGGTACCAAAGATTACTTTTTAAGGACGATAATTGACAGAGAGCAAAGTATCGAGATTTCACTAACAATAATTAGGGGGAGTCTATTTTCCTTTGACGTAAGATAATTAAAAATTAAACGTAAAAGTACATCTATTTAATATTAAAATCACTTTTAAGTAGATGAATAAAAACTGTTACTGACAAATGTTACTGAGAATTAAATTGCAAAAGTTTGCTATACAATTTTTTTCATCATATTATACTACAGCTATAATAAAGACATTGTTAGAAGATTGACAATATATTTTACTCATAATATACGAGTAGTATCTACTGTAATTTGCCACGTATAAGATGGGATTTCTTAATGAAATTTATAACATCTATTGATATTACATACATATAAACGATATGTATTTATAAAATTGTTTCATTTAGTAAAAATTTTGTCATAAACTATAAAATGTTGAAATGCAATGCATGAATTACCTGAGAATCGCGAGGAACTTCAGCGAGTAGATAGAGCCACGGCGAGTCGGCAGCGTAACGTCCACCCATCGGAGGCACGGCGTAGCCGAGAGAATCCTACGAATTATGTCACTGTTATATATTTTTAATAAATAAATAAATAAATCTATACATATAATAAAATTATAATTGAGTCGTATCTGTAATCTATACTATAATAAAACAGTAGAGGTCGAATGTCTGTACATAGCAAAAAAATGCTAAAAACCGAGTCAGGGGGATGTAAGAAGACAAATAGAACAAATCCAGACTTTTTTCAATTTTTTTGTTACTCTGTCTGTTTGTCTGTTTATCTGTCTGTTTGTACGGGATAATCTCCGAATCTATTGGACCGATTTAAATGAAATTTTGCATGATAGTACCTTATATCCCCGGGCAACATCTTAGATACTTTTTATCCCGCAAATTGAATAGTTTCCGTGGGATGGTTAAAAAACTATAATAACTTATACAGCCTAGTACACAAAAAGTACTGATTGGATTTTAATAAAACTTTACAATATATAGTTCATACACGACAATAACAAATCGGCTACTTTTCATTCCGGAAAATTAAAGGGTTTCCATGGGACAGTCAAAAAACTATAGTGACTTATACAGCTTAGTAGACAAAAACTACTGATTGGATTTTGATGAAACTTTACAATTATATAGGTTATACATCAGAATAACAAATAGGTTACTTTTTATCCCGGAAAAATGTAGGATTCCCGTGGGATAGAAGTTTTCGTTTATTTGTAGCGTATTATGTACACAACATAGACCCCATACAATAGTTATTTAAAAAAAAGTCTGTTTGTCTGTTTGCCTTATGTCTGTTTTTTTATGCGCGTTTCACGCGAAAAGTAATGTACCGATTTCAACAAAATTTGGTTAAGTGATAACTTAATACTTTCTTAGATTTACGCGAATATTTGACATTTTAAATAAAACTATCTTTTCGGATTTTGTCGCGGATTTATTTGGATTTTTGTTTCCCGACGTTGAATGTCATTCAAGACATGTAACACCTCAGTCTCTCCCGTGACCATGGATGCTGTAAAGCATTCGAAACGTCGGGAAACAAAAATCCAAATAAATCCGCGACAAAATCCGAGAAGTGATAACTTATTACTCAAGTCCGTGTTTAGGATACATTTTACTTCAAGAAAATTCTTTCTCACGGGAAGATACAATAACTGGTTTTATCGAATCATCCCTAAAAACCTTCCGCTGGCTAAACCTTAAGACATACATACATCAAAACAATATACTAAAAAATTGTAGGTCTTGAAAAGTCCTACAAGATAGTTCTGAATTGTATATGTATAACTCCTAAGCAATATCTATTCTTATCTATACCTATAATAAAACTAACTTAGTCAAATCGATGTGCGCGTTTCACGCAAAAAGTACTGAACCAATTTTAACAAAATTTTGTATAGTGATAACTAAGTGCTCGGGTCAACATTTAGGATACCTTTAACGACAGCCAAATTATTCATTCCGTTCGCGGGAAAACACAATAACTGGTTCTATCGAATTGTCCTTAGAAATTTATATAAAATATGAAATAGTCATTATTATCGATACAGAAGCCGAATCTATAGTTTGTAGAATATTTGTCTGTCTGTCTGTGACCACATCACAAGAAAACCACTGGACAGATTTTGATGAAATTTGGTATGATGATATCTGGTCATCCAGGTCAACATATAGGATACTTTTTACTGCGGGAATATATCTCATGTCTGAGAAATCTATACTAACCGTTACGTTTAACGGTTAGTATAGATTTCTCATCTCAGACCTAGGGACGAACCCAAGCGGAGCGATGGTGAGTCGTTAGTTTCTTTATATTCTGTAACCCTCTAATTCTTTCTATTAAGTCTTGATCAACGAAGATTTAGGTTTAGATTTAGCACTGGTCTACTGTGTGTACTGGACATTGATATACAGGGTGGAACAAATCGATAGGATATGGAAGAAAAGTATCTTAAATATTGAAGTTATCAAGATTTACTCAAAGAAAACATTTCTTTATTTAAAAATAATAACTGCATTTAAAAATAATAATAACTGCATTTAAGTTTTTTTTAAATAGCTTCCCTGAACGGGAATCGAACCAAATAAAAATGCAAAAAAGGACCCCGTCACTATTTTATCGAATTAATCGATTGGGTCTAAAGGATAAAATCTCTCATACAAACATTGCGTCTTAGAATTAAAGAAAACGATGAAATCTTACAAATTATACATATCGACTCTAACATCGTGGAACAAACGCACAGGACATGGAAGAAAATTGTCTAAAACACTGAAAACATTAAGTTTCACTCAAAGGAAACATTATTTTATTTTTAAAAATAAAATTAACTGCATTTAAATTTTTTTTATAAGAGATGATCTGAACCGGTAATCGAACCAACTGAAAATGCCAAAAGGTACATCGTCACTATTTTATTGAATTAATGGATAGAGTCTATATAAGGATGACAATACATTTTACCGCGGGCGGAAAACACGATACATATATGATAATACAACCCAAAAGTTATTTATGATAAGAATTACTTGAAACTTGGTATTAATGCTCTTCTATATAATTAAATATATACGTGTTTAAGCATTTTTCGAAATTCATCCCATAAGGGGGTAAAAAAGGAGATGAGTTTTAGCGCGAGTGAAGTATTAGAATATATATGTATAATTATTATCTAGCTACTTTATTTTATTTTTTTTTAAATTTAGAGCATCGGGATGAAAGATTATTTATATGAAAGTTTTAATTTTCGATTAAGTGACAAGCCCGACTTGGATAACGTAGATTGAGAAGGCTAAGCCGGGAGCGAATCGCAGCGTAGCTCATAATTGCTTTATGTTACTTAAGATTTGGTGACAGTTTCGACTCGAAAATTATAGGTGTCTGACAGTATCAGAAAAATTGGAAGTGTCAAATGTATTTTTATTCAAAATACACCCTAATTTTTAAAAAATGAGAACAAGATAAATATATGTATTTTGTGTCTCTTTCGAAAGCTCTAAATTAAAGATGGCTGTTCTAGATTTGTAAATACCCAAACTTTTTCTCTTATCCTCATTGTTAAGTAAAAATATAAACAAGTATTTTTTAAATAATCAATATCCGGACTAATAAAAATATTATTTGTCGTACAGTAACTGTATTATTAACGTGTTGAGGTTCAGCCATATAATTGTGGATTTATACATAAAATTATTTACATATCTAGGGGTGCACTCGAGCGAAGCGAGGTTTAATCACTAGTAGATATATGTATACATTCGTTTCAATATGAAATATTAGAAGAAATATAAGGTATACGTGTAAGCTTAAATTAGGTGTAGAAGTAATTTTCATATAAAAATATAAGTGAAAGATTTCAAATCATTTACGTATTTAAAAAAATATGCGAGAAAGAAAATGTGATGGAAATCGCTATGCAAATTTTAGAGCTAAGTGGTTCTCATCAAAGTTGCACGTGACTTTATAAATTGAGCTCCTAAAATGATATCAGAGGGTATAATGGACTATGTAGTTAAACCTTATGATGCTTCAATAATTTTATCGTTGGCTCTGTTACTGTTATAGTAGTCTTAGTAAACTGGCATCCCCTAAATGATGCAACATTACAAGAGTTGGTTTGGAGGTCCCATAAGTAGCCAAAGTATATTCATGTCATACCTAATTCCCGGTACATAGACGCCTGAGAAATGAAAAATATAAAAAAAAATTCACAGCCTATTATTGATAATTATAAATATTTAAACTTATGTATATAATTACATTTCCTTATATTGCGATGAACATCAATTTCAGACATTGAAAATAAAAAAATATCTAAGGGGGAATAATTAACTTAATTATTATCACTTTAAAAGACAATCAAATATATTATAAATGAGAATTTTTGGACAATGTAATCCGTGTGATTTTGTATTGTATAGATATAGTCTTGAGCTGGTGAGTCATGTATTAGGCACTTTATGCCCTGTATATTAAGTGACATTAGTCTGTTGCATTTGTTCAAACAGTTAACTAATACTATTCCAAAATGTTCAATAATACTTACGTCGTCAGGTGCGGAAGATTCTATCTGTGCCCAGTCGATGGCTGGCGCGAGCGCACTTGACGACGGCGCAGCCTCCGCACACGCGCTTCCCGCCACTACGACCGCACACCAGATAGCCCACCACATCTAAAACCAAAAAGTTATAAATAATTATAATAATAATACAAATTTATTATATCATAATATAAAATACGTTATAATAAAAAAAAAACATTTACGAAAATATTATGTTCGCAAATTTTCTCAAAGCATATGTAAGAAACATCACCTTCTACATTAAGTCAGTCCAAATCCTTTTATAGATCAGAAATAGGATCAAAAACCTTTTAATAAAATGTATTGGTAGATTTAAAAGAGGTTAATCAAATAGATTTTATTAATGTGTCAAAGTATTATTGTATTTAAAAAAAATATTTTTGGAAAAATGTTTAGTTCATATGTGTTTCTTTCGTGAATTCTACTCAAAATTGGAGAGATTTATTTTAGAAAAAATTTAATAATTTGCTATCAAATGCTGAATGAATATCTAATAGTTATTATTTTCACCATTGAAACCTACGTGAAGTGTTGGTTAAATGGCTAGTTCAATTAACCGTAACACACAGACTACCTAGAATAACATCTATGCAAACACGCAAGAACCGAACCTTCGAAATCCTATCTCCAATATCGAGCTCAGTACCATTAATATAAGGCCTATTAATCCATTTTAACTCTTTAAAACATAAAATAGTTGTTAACGTAATTATTGTTGTAATATGTTAATTTTAAAAATTGCCTTTAATGCTCTTTGAAGCTGAATTAACGAAATATTAAATAAACTTACATAGGGTTTTTGTAAAGACTAAAAACATCCTTTTAGTTGTAATTTTTTTGTATTATTATGAAGAACGTTATTACTATTATCTGTTATTATTATGTGTTAACGACTTTAGAAGCTTATAACTATGCAAATATTGGCTTAAACATAAAAATCACTTAGAAATAAAGAGTTTTAAGATAGGTTTTTGGATTGGTATACGGTGCCAGTATTTTTTGATTATTTAAATGCACTAACACGGGCAGAATGGATGTATCCTGTGGTTATATAGGAGAGTAAACTTTTAAAACTAATTATAAGATAAAAAATACTTAACCCTACGTGTTACGTAAAAGTTTTTTCTAATATAGTTAACTTTTACTAAAAGACCTTTTGCGTAAATTAAGTAGGACATCTATCCAGATTTCCATGTGTCGTTTTCACATTCGCCATTAGCGCCAAGTGTTAGTGCGGTCTCACTTCATTTAGAGGATGTCTTAGAGCTATATTTGCTCAGGACTCTACAAGCTCCACTGTTTATGAGGTGCTTTTGTCCTCGAGGAACCACATAAAGAACTATGTATTTTAACAAACTGGGACAAACATTGTCCTATTTATACAATTATTTATATTTTCCAAGTAACGTGCGGAGATTTAGACGTATATTTAAAGATTCAAAAACAACTTCAAATAGTCGCTATGGGTTTAATTTCGATTGTGGCCGCCAAGTACATAATATGGGCTTTATTTATAACGAATTATGTATATATAAACATTAAGATAGTCAAAAAAATCTCAATACTATATACCTATTTGTTGAAACATTTAAAGTGATGATTCGTTTAATTTTGTTATTTTCTCTTATATATCGAAACAAGCTTCCTCAGGCATCCTCAACCAGACTTTGAAACCATAAAGTAAATAAAGCGTGGAATTTTGCGTTGGTTGAAAATAGCTCCTGAGATTTTATCCATACCAAAATACGTTAAGATCATCACAACACGCATACCTGAATAAAAGTAACGTCGTTACATTTAAATGGGATTGTTACAGGCAGAAATTGTTTCGGCCGAAACCGCGAGATAATTTGGGAGAACAATGAAAAAACGTTTTGCAAAGGTTCGTCTATTGTGAAATCTCTGTATGCCGAAGTTCGTGCATCCGACGATTTGTCATTCATGTTTTATTTCAGTCTAGATATGTCAGAGGAATGTGTTCAATCGAGTGAAATGATGTAATGCTCCGACATACTACATTTTATGCTCTTTAGAATATCGTCAGCAAATTGCCTGTAAATCATCCATAAGTTTTTTACTCGTAGCCTAATTTATATATTCGACAAGGTTGAGTAAAAATCAAAGCACTTAATATATGTACTTACCTACACATATAAACTGTTAAACTAACACAATTATAACGATTCCGTTTATCTTTCAAAATTAACATACTTCGTCAATATCATGTACATAATAATGTTTGTCATCTTTTTCAAGACTAGCGACTCACCCTCGTTCCGCTCGGGCTCGTCCCTAGTTACGTTTTGACGTTTAGTATAAATTTCTCATAGATGAGATATTATCCCGCAGCAAAAGGTGTCCTATATGTTGATCCGTATAATCAGCTATCATCATACCAAATTTTATCAAAATCTGTACAGTGGTTTTCTCTTAACGCGTTCCCGGACAGACAGACAAAAAAATCTAAAAACTATAGATTCGGCCTCTGTATAAATAATAATGACTTTTAATATGATATTATTATAAAAAATATTTAATGTACAGATTCGACTCAATCAGTACATATGTTTGAGTCTATATCCTATATTTTCCTTATCATCGTAGCGGACGGACTACACTATGTTTAAATTAAACTGTAAATTAAATCAAATTAAATTTAATTGTAAAAACTACTTAAAATTAAACTGACGATTCAAATGTTCTTTTATAAGTCTAATTGAATTAAGTTAATTTTAATTTCATTTAACCAAAATTATCTTGATATAAAGTACCTACACAATATACATTGTACTAAATAGTAACTTTAAGTAAAAGTTAAATATCTTTACCTCGCATTATTCATGACAGATATTGCGCCAAATATAAAGATGAGCTATTGTTAGGATTTTTAGAATTTGTAAGAGTATTGTACAAAAGAATCTGATCAATCATAAGCTCCTTTTTTTGTTATATAATATTGGTTAATAATAATCACAATGTAACACTTAGGTGATCGATAACATTAAGACAGCCATATTGTTACGCTGTTAAAAACATCCCATTGTCTTTTACGTATAAATAACAATGTATATTAAATATGAAATTACAATTACAAGCGTTAATGTATAAGGTGAAATATACGGTCATATTTTATGCCTCATCTAAAGTAATTTTTTTGGATTTTGGATATGGAAATTAATGATAGTAATAGATAATGGTTCTGTATATCCTGCAGCGGCTACTGCTGTTACACAATGTTTACGACTTTAGAAGCATAAAATCACAACTATTGTCTTGAACAGACAGACGGACAGACGGACATAGCCCAATTATAAAAGTTCCGTTTTAGCCTTTGAAGTACGGAATCCGAAAAAGGTATAATAAGTATTTTAATTTGTAAGAATACATCTTGACTTGAGATTAACGATTAAATACCTCAATGAAATTTTATTTAGTGTGAAACTATTTTCGTTTAACTGGATTTCATATTTTTTAACATCCCACTGCTGGGGGTGGGCCGCCCTTCAATACGAGAGGGATCAGGCCACAGTCCACCACGCTGGCCAAGTGCGGGTTTGCAGACTTCACATGCCTTTCGATTTGCTAGGTTTCCTCAGATATGCAGGTTTCCTCGGACATGCTTCGCACATGAAAATATTCGCACATGAAAATATCCCAGTTGCGAAGATTTGAACCCGCTTCACTCGGTTCCTCAAGCGAGCGCGTTACCACTTGGCTACCACCACTGTCCTAAATGTATTTAGTGTAAAAAGTCCATTAAATAATTAACTAAGCACAAAAAGTACAAAAAATAAATACAAATATCTGGTAATGAAAATGAATGAATTTCACTAACTGCATTATATATAAAAAAAACTGGGTTCCAGATGGCTTTGTTTAAATAGTAAATTTTATTTAGCTCTAATAGACATTCGCTTACTAAAATCCATCTAAAAGTTTTCTAATAAATTATTGAAGTTTTAACATATCCATTATAAAATCTGATGCTTCACAGGTTAACTATCTACGAGTATAATAAATTACCTACCCTAGATAAGCCTTATTGAAGTTGAAATATTTTTGGGGCTTTTATACAAGAATTAACTACATTTATAAATTATATGTACATCATTCATATTATGAATGATATGTACATATAATTGGTCCTAGATAGAAAAGGTACATATATTTTAGGTTCGTAGTTGTTTCACCGATATTAGAAATTAATCTGATATGAAATCAAATAATACTTTATTACATTACTAGTTACATATCCACGCTTCATTCGGGTGCGTCACTTGGTACCAACCATTTATGTTGATAAAAATAGTTATTGTGAGGTTTTTCTGCAGGCCTTTTTAAGACCAACAATTTTCTAGTACATTGTTTTGCTGTATATCTTAATGTTTAACCACCATTAGCCATGTAAATTTCTAAGGTCAACAGGAAATGCACAGAGATAAACAGACACACACAAACAGAAAAAATCAATAACTATTTTTTGGGGTCTATATTCTGGACACAATACGTAGTGTTTTTTTTTAAATTTCATGCACAGATTGGGCTTTGTTACTATTTTATTATATGCGTGTACTTGGGTCCATGAAGCAATCATTCACCTTTTGGAGGCGAAATGTGGGCGTTACAAGCTTATTTCTATTTCTAGTGTTTTTTGTGTGTCTATTACTATTTTTCAAATAATTATTACTTACATTTTTACGAATATGCAATATATTACACACATTGATATACAATTATATATATATATATATATATATATATATATATATATATATATATATCAATGCCATTGATTTTAACCAACCAAGTTGATTCAAGGGTTGGTTACACAGTATTTATTGTGGAGTCGATATCGTAAAATAACCGATCTTTGAATTTGGAATCAACTTACGAGTATTCGAAACTTAATATTGTAGATATCGATTTCTTACAATTTTTTGTAACTCTTTAGATGGTGATTGTTTTTACTTTAAAAAGCACATAAAAATCACAGAAATAATTCATAAACTGACAATAGTTATAAGGAGAGTAATTTGCTTATTTATCCGACTTTCAGACATATAGAGACTTCAATTTTATATTATATGCAG